TACTTACCAGATTATCAATAACAAATCCGCGTATGTCATCCATTTCATATATGGCCATTAGGTAAATATGGCAAATAAGTATTAAGCACTTTTTGTGTTGGCTTTTGACTTCTGGATAAGAAAGAGTCGTTTGTAGTTTGCATTGTTCATACTCGTGATTCCATGCAGCAATAATTCGCATTGATAACCTACGTACGCCTTCAATAGTGCCGGCGTCAAAGAGCTTAATTAAACGTAGTAGAAGCAAAACTAAACCTTCTTTCTGCAGGTGCTCAATATCTAGGTATCCAAGAAGAATTAATTTTAGCAATATCTAAAAGATGAATATAAAATATGACAATCTACCTTGCGGAGTAGCTGGCGGCTCTACATGTTCACTCGATTGTGTTAAACTTCCTGCAAAATTTTCCCGGCATTCGAGAAATTCCTTTAGGTAAGGAATATTCCAAGGTTCCACACCCAATTGCAATGTGTAATCCCAGTTGAATATATCGTTACCCGGTAATTTGAGCAATAAATCCTTGGCACGCTTTAAGCAAACCAATAGCATTCCTCTAAACTTTGATATGCACTCTTCCCACTCTTTACTGAACCATATATCCAAAGAATATTGGGTTATTTGTTTCAGCACTGTGCAGAAGTATGGTGGCAGTCCTTCCTTACTGTTCAATTCATCCCAATGCACTTGACATACCTCCCAACCGTATAGCACCAGATCCAACCGTTCGCGTCCCATTAATTGGAAAACGTCCAAGTCGGAGTCTTTCATTGTATATAGCACTTTGAGCTGATGAAATAAAAAACCAAAACATACAGTTCTACATAGCAACGAAAAAAGCCGGAGGGCTGTCAACTTACCGCAACGAATTCATGAAATCCAACTTTTAGTGCACAATTACAAAAGTGTTCTCTGTCCTGCGTATTGTATGGCAAAATTATATCCATTTTCCGTTTGTTTGTGTTGAATTTAAGGGAAAATAACTGATTTTCTTCGCATTATTTACAATTTTCCAAAAATTTCGTAAACTATTATGCGACGCCGCATACAAACAATTGCAATCAGCTGTTTGCTCTGCT